TGCTGGATTCACCTGGTTTGTTGACAAATGGGTTGCGGATCCATTCCTTGGCAGTTCGTGGGTCCTTTGTGGTTGGGAAGTAGCGCTCGAACTCTTGCATCTCGTGCACCAGCTGGAAGAATGAAGGCTCAGTCTCACCCAAAATCCCCGCTAATGTTTGAAACATGTCCAAAATGCCTCTGTTGACGCGCCGTCCCCACAAATACAGTTTGGCTTTAAATGCAGCTACTTTATCTGCCAACTTGAAGACAGTTGTCATTTTCCCCTGAAGTGACAGATTGAGTTCATTGAGCAGGCTGAATATGTCGCACAAGTAAGCCAGTTTTGGCGCTCAAGTGACCGAGATGTAACCGAGAGAATGCGGTCATTTTTCAAAATAAAAGATTGTTCAGACTCCGATTATAAATAAAACGGAAATAATTAATGATTTCTTGTGCGGCCCGGTACCAATTGATCCACGGACCGGTACCGGTCCGCGGCCCGGGGGTTGGGGACCACTGCACTACAGCGTCCTGCCTATTCTGGTGACGGCAACGAGTGACAGCCTGAGTTTAAGTACAGGCTTCAGACTGGCAGATGTTTGCTAGGTCAAGTAACTTTTATGAGAAAACAAAAACAACACTTAAACGCAGCACCGAACTCCATATTAAAAAGTGTCGATTATAAAAATAAGCAAGAGAACGCAACAAGTGTCAGGTATGAGCTGATTTAATCTGCTGCAATATGAAAGTAAATTATGCAAAAGGTGAAAGCACAACAATGCATACGCTTACAATTGCAAGGACAGTAAATAAATATGTATCCAAATAATTAAATAACTCGGTACAAAAAAGGATGTTTGTATTAGGCATCTGTAGCTGTTGCATTTTTCATACCCAAATTAACATTTACAATAAAAACATACAAAAAAAACTAAGATTTAAGCAAGCCATGAAATAGGAAACTGAATAAGAAATATCTTTGCATGTTTAAAGGGAAGTTTGTGTTCTCTGAAGCTCGATTTGCAAAATACAGCAGCCAGCGTGAATAAAATATACATCTGTACAATTTCATGTATGAGCTGTGAGTTGAGTGCCATCTGCTGGTGGCTAAATGCATTACAACAAAATACAGCTAGATCAGAAAGCATGCATCAGTCTATGGTTCAAAGTTCTCTATTATGTACATGAAATTCCATGAAAATATTCTCTATATACAGATACTGTCACTAACTACAATTTATTAAAACCCTGAATCACATTTTACACTGATTGACTTTGACATACACTACCAGTCAAGTTTGGGCACACTTTCCCATTCAATATCAACAGGGAAGTGTCCTCATTTTTGACTGGTAGTGCATACACAGTGGAACACACTTGGTGAGAGAACTGGCAGAGCTTAACACAGAAATAACACCTGAAAAGACAGTTATTTGGCATTAATCATATTGCTGAGAGTTCCTGAGTTGGTCCAAGCACCTGGTGACTGAAGTAATTCTTAAAGTGTACAGTACATTTAAAACAATTGACAGGCAGACCTTGGAGGTTTAAAAAAAAAAAAAAGGGGGGGGGGGGCCTCTCCTCTTATACACAGCACATACAGTCACCAGAAGGAAAAAGAGGATGTGCAAGGAATAATTGAGTTACAATGGTCTTTTCGTGACCCATCCAGAGGCCTGCTATGACACTGCTCAGTTGAAGGAGTTCATAATGCTCTATCCACCTTCACTCCAGTTCCTGGACAGCCTAACTCTTCACAGTTCCCCACGGCTGCAGAGTAGCCTGAGGCAGAATCAACTGTGGTGATGACTGCGACAAGATGTAGTAGCCAAATACCTGCTGGGGTGGAGGTGGTGGTGCTGGAGGCGCGCACACGGTGGTGAGAAACACCGGTGTGGCCTTCTTGTACTGAGGCCAAACTGGTGTGGGATGGTAGAAGTACTGGAGGCTAGCAGGGAGCTGAACAGCCTGGAAAATTGGAAGGAGTACAGGAGATTAGCAGGGATGGTGCATGTGGAGACTTTCCAACATGGCGGTTAAACACATGTTGTCCATATAGAAAGAGCCAATGGTAATTTCCTTTCTAGAACATTCAATACTGAAACTGCATCACATGGGGATGACATAATGGTAGCAGCGACTCAGTTAATAATAAGCCTATGAATGATGCACAGATATACTGATACGTTATTTGGCTCTCAATTGACTACAAGTGTCCATCAAACAAACTATCCAGAAACTATCCAACAGTGGCTGTTGAGCTGAAATGATATAGTCAGCTTTGTCACCACATGTTGCAGGTTTGATACATTTCCTACAAATCAGTATGACCCACATCCAACCAGGCTCCTTATACTACATTTATTAAATGCAATATCCAACTGTTACAACACCATATTAAACTCAAACCATTACATTAATAGCTGTTACATTACTAGTGCTTTTAACTGCTTTTAAGCATAAGGACCAAAACCAACAATGCCTCAGCCTGTCTCTCATTGCCTGACTTCCCTGTTCTCTCTCTAGCACCTAACCACAAGCCCAGTTCCTACTACTAGAGAGACGTTTTCAAGAGTTGGTCAAAATATTTATTACATTTGTGTAGTAAAAATAAATAAATAAATAAATAAATAAAAACTCATTTCATGAAACAGATGGGCACATATCCAACATTACTCAGGAGTAACTGATGCATTTGGCCTATTTTCAGCTTCTGATTGATACATGATGCTCTAAGAAGTATTTATGACAGCATACATGGAACTGACTCAAACTACACCATTCATGGTAATGAACGATTAGGTCATCCACAGCAGTAATGTGGCTCACTTATGAGTTTTTAAACAGCGGAAGTCCACAGCAGAGAAGCAGATCAGCTCACTGCAGGTTTTGGTCTTTAAGAGATTTGTCGATCTAAGGAAAATACTTATATATATAACCAACAGATGGTCTTTAAAAAACATTTACTTTATTTTTGATGTATTTGCCCTTATTTGCTGCTCCTCCATATGGCTTTCGAATCCTGGGCACCATCTCTATTGTGTAGGTGTCACCTTCTGCTGCTTTCATCTTGACGGCCCTCTCTTTTTTTTCAGGCTCCCCCTCCTTTGCCTCCTCCTCTGTGTCGCTTGACGCAGTGGAACTGCAATCTGAAGAGGTAGCAGAGTGGTAATCTGATGTGTCCAGGCTTGACAGGTCCACAGAGGAGGTGTCCTGTTCACCCTTCATGCCCTCCTCATCCTCCTCATTGAAACAGGCTATTGTGAAAGGCCTACTGTTCTCTCCAGATCTGTGAAGAGGGAGTGGATCATTTAACATTCATCCATATTCCTGCTTTTTACCTCCCACAGTTGTATTCGTTTGACGACTCACTCATAATTTGCGGCTAGACAGAGAAATGCTCCCTTGTTGCTTAAGACCATCTGTATGTGTGTGTGCTTCAGCAGCAGTGACTCACCTTGCACACACCTCCAGTGGGTCGATCCACAGGGTGATCTCAGGCGGCAGGCCCAGCTCACTGGGTGTGAGGTCACTCTCCTGACATGCCCTCAGGACCACTTCATCACAGAGTACTCCATTATTTATCCGAATGCATCTGCGAAGGAGCACTTGTTAAAGAGTCATTCTTTCATTTCTTCTTTTGTTATATTATTGTTATAACACAGGGCGCAGCCAGTACTCAGGGAAATAATTCTATGATCTGTGTAGATGTGAAAAAAAACAAACATTCATTGTCAAATGTGTGGAGTTTTGTTTTGGGTAATTACCTGTATGCCTGGCCTTTGCTGGGAGAGTTGGGGTACCAGTGGTCATCATATTTGTCACACAAAAGTTTCTGTAGCTTCTCAGCGAACAGCTCTGCTTTGGCTTCATCAAGCTTGCCACGTGCCACAATCAGGCGTTTGAGGAAGCTGACACCAGCCTTCACCTCTCTTTTCATGATGTCTGTAGAAACAGAAGAACTCATGTCAGTGTTTCCATGTGTCTGTGTGAGCAGGTGGTTCTGTAATCACTTGCCACATTGAAACCACAGTTTTTGCCAACTGAAGCGCAAATGTGACTTCCCTTCAATGAGATGTGGGGGAACAGAACTTCAGCTGCAGGGATAACAGAACTTCCCTGTACAGTCGCTCCTGAGCCGTCTATTTTTATTACCTTCAGGAGAGCACTGTGCTAAATGTGGAAATGAGCAGCAGGCATTTAACAGCTACGGACTCTGCGCTGACAAAACGTTAGTGTTTGTATACAGGGAAACGTGATGCAAACTAGAACTCCCATATTTATATTCAAGTATTCCAATATGCAAATCCAATGAGATTACTGTGCTGTTCATCTTCTGATATGTGTTTGGGCTGGGGGGCCAATGTCTGCCTAACCAGGAGGTAAGGGCGTGTCTAACAAAGGACAAGGGAATTCAAACCTAGCAGCTGAACTGGCTCACACTTGGTGTGCCAACATCCCAGTGATGTCCCCAATGAGAAAGTCGCTGCACGAACATTGACGTGCAGATGGTCACTTTGTTATTGTGGCTTTAAACAACACCACTACTACAACCTGTGTAATGTGTTGTGAGGGAACATTACTATTTGGTCTGAGCGATGTTGCAACAGCGACGAGCTGGTCACCAAACAAGTAAGAGTGCTGGTTAACTTTAAATCCCTAACAAATATGTTTGCCATGACCTGTAAGAGGACCAGTATTTTAGATTGGTAAACAGCAGTTTTAATACTCCACTCAGTTATCAGTCTGATGAAAACAGGGTCAAATTACATGTATCCTACTTCTGTCACCTCCTCAGTCATGTGACTGTTTTACTTTTTATCAGTCAGCAGCTAATTATGTTCACTCCACCAGAAAAAGATTATAAATTCAACAGCATGTTGACCTGCAGGATGCAACTTTGACATGCATACACAGATTTCTTGGTAGAGTTTCCAGTCTCAGATTTTTGTGACAACTGTGAAGAAGCTACCTTAAAATTCTCCTAATAGTTCATTGAAAAAGCCTTAGATAGAAGAGGTTTTCAGTAGATGGCTCGAAGCATTTTGGGACTGGAAAACAAAGCTCAAAACATTAAAACTGAATATGAACCGGTCATCAATATTCTGTGTTTGTCATTCAGAAGCACACTGTGAATAAGATGTGAAATACTTTAAAAGTTTTATTTTGTTACAGCATCCTGCAACACAAGTTACTGTGATAACAAAAAATATATTGAGCATATGTTACTGTAGATACTCTGTCATGAAATGGCCCTTTCAACGTCTTAAACCCCGAGTTAACATGTTTACAGCTTTTGTCACACAAGAGTCACTCAAAGTTATTCCGTTTACTGCCACAGAGGACTAGCAAACAGATATTTATACTTAATCTAGTTTATGAAGGAACATCCTAAGAAAAATCTCCTATTTGTTTGTATCTAAACACACCATTTAAAACCCAACTGGATGATCAGAATTATAAAAAAAAAAAAAAACAGACACAACCAAAGCTGAAACAGAGAGCTGATATTTTGGAGATACATGGTTTTCACAACACTGCTGAAACACACGAGATTACAATGGCGTCATTCTTGTCCTTGTAGCCAGGTGTTCACTGACGACACCCCACATATCACTTCTGATTCAGTATATTGTTCTACCAAAGACAGTCTAGCTGACTCATGTTTACAACTGGCGTGCATCATACAAAACTGATGCTGTATACAAATATTAGAAGTAAGACATTCTCGTTTTCTCCGATGACTTGACAAATGAGTCTGAGAACAAATCAGAGGTTCAGTGGTGGCGTAAATAAAAGCTTCCAGCCATGACCAGCACACTATGTTTGCCATCCAACTGTTCACCAAACAGTGACCTACTGCCATTATCACAGCCTGCTGATACCGTTCTTACACATGAAGACAGCAACTTGACACAATTTGCACAATGAACCTGCTTATACTGCAATTTTGTAGAAACAATTAGTGACACTGTGTTCAAACTGTCAGTGCACTAGTCTGGATCCTTGTGTTGCCCGTATATCTCTGAGCTTGTGCGTTTTTATGCTCCAGAGAGGACACTTAAGTCTTCTAAACAGTTGTTCCTGGAAGTACCAAAGTCCAGACAGAAACACTGGGGAGACAGAGCATTTCGGTTCGGGCTCCTGTACTGTGGAATGGTCTGTCTCGGGATATTAGATCTGCTCTGAACCCAGCTGTTTTTAGATCACTTCTTAAAACGCATTTGTATTCACAAGCTTTTAACTGATTGATGCATTTGTATTGATTATGCATTTTTGTTAGTTTTATTGTGTAGATGTGTTTTATCTGGTTTTGTTTTCATTTTGTATGTTTTGCAGTAAAACACCTTGTAATGTAGGTTTAGAAAGGCGCTATATAATTACATTTACCTTATTTACCTGTTTACGTTCAACGCGTGCTCATACTATCACAAGTTTCCCAAACTGGGCCAAACACATCACAATAAGTACAACCAGGAGTGAGCGTGGGTTTTACAGGTGTGATGAACTAAGAGTTACAGGTAAGAAGCCTCCGGTCTGGTGTCGTCATTCACTTTAGGAAACTACCCAATTGTATTCGCGTATGCGTGAAACAAAGGAGACGCAACAAAGAAGTCGCCTAGAGGTAAAAGCGTGCGACCCAGGGGGAGGTCCACGTGTTTATGCGTGGCTGGTTGCGCGGATGTACTTTACAAACAGAACAGCACGTAAAGTAACGACCAAACACAGTGAATTCACTCTTCACTCTGTTTTTTCACGCCTCAATAAAGGAAACGTAAAGACGCTGGAAACAACTCATTTGGTTTTTCTGACAGCGCGGAAACCCCCGGTGGAAATTCAGAAAGTCAGAGCAAACAGGCCCCAGTAGTTTCGGTACAGACGCTACGTTACCTCAGCTACGCAAGATAATTTGTCATCTTTGAAGGCTGTGCAATCAAAAATAATCATTTAACAACGGAAGTGAGTTGGTACGAAGTTAGTCGTCAAACACCAACTTAGGAAACTATTTAAAACAAAAACTAAACATTAAAAATAAACCGACCGACATAAAGTAAGACAAAATTATATCAATGTAACCGCAAGAACACGACAGCAACAAATTAAAAATAACTTAGGCATGCATTTCAACAACTTCATAAACTTAAAGACAAAACAAGTGCTCAAAAGTTTAAAAAGGAAAATAAATAAACAACGAGTGGTACTCACGATAAAAAACAAGTCTGTGAGTGTCCTCGGCTCTCCGTCTCTTACCGCAGCTACGTGCCTCTGTGCTGTGTTGGACTTATTATGATGAGCACATGTTGCTTCCTTGTTCTCTCGTCAGCTTTCCCTGTTGCTGCAACTGAGACGTAACAATTACCGTCAGTGTGACTCACTTCCTTCTCTCAACGCCGTGAGCAAGAACTGACTGGTCCGCGCCAGTGCGAAACCCCGCCCTGCCCAAATATGGGCAGTCAAGGTAAACTCCTCCTGTCGGCGTGCGCCCCTACCAGTCACAAGGTGAAAGAAAGAAGGACATACTGTTAAAATACTGTATATGCTAATATATGTTAAAAACTCTTAAATAAATACATAATACTCTTATAAATATATTCAAAAGCTTATTACATACCAAAGCATTATCAGCAAAGTGTACTTAAAGTATCCCATACACGTGTTAATGCAGCATTATTTGACCAGGAACCTCAATTGAGTTTACAAACCACAATATATTGCACTCAAAGTGTATGTGTGTTGGTTTCATTGCATCATATTAATTGTTTGACTGGCAGGAAAGCCCACATGAAAATGTATAGTCCATTAATAATTCATATTTCAACCATGTAAACACACTATTGGACATAGTTTGATGTCAAGAACACAGGAACGTAAAGCTCTTTACCAGGAAATGATGTAAGGCACTGGTGCATCAGCGTAACCTCGACATCACTATCATCCCAGAATATGTTACTGTAGATACTCTGTCATGAATTGTCTTTAGAATACATAGTTATATGTATTATATATGTATTATATGTAGGCCCTTTGTATAGGCTGATTTTGACTTTCTGTCTGATGCAGTTTGATAGCATTGTAACATTATGAACTGCTGCGTCACATTAGGTTGGAGAGATGATTTCATCCATGTCATGTTCCCACTATATTTTTGTTTCTGAGTTAGCTGAAGGAAAGGCACAGCAGCTCATACATTTAACTGTCCATTGGAGGGTTTTCCCTGAACTAAACTGCTCGCTGAAAAGATAAAGCAAGTAGTGGGCAAAATAAATCATTACCAAAAAGGATTTTCACAACCTGGCAGCCCAAAGTTTGTTGTTGTTTATGGTTGATAGCAACGTTATTTATAAAACACAAATCAAAGCCTAGCTTAAATGTTTTATAAATGGAACCTGCCTTATTAGAAAGTGGTACAGTGCCATGATTTTGTTTTTTATTACATTATCCTATCCCTTTTTGAGTCTTTTTCCTTAGTGGTCAAAGGATACTTTGCTTGCACCCCATTACAAGTAATTAAGTTACATTTTACTTAGGTAAAAGTCGTGTACTCTTTATGCAAAGTGTTATATTTATTATGTATTTAGTGCAGTTAAATTAAAATTATGGATTCCTTGTAGTGTAGCCAAATGAATTGGAGCTAATATAGTCTACACCCTGAGTACTGTTTGTCATATTTTCACAGATTTGTCCTATATACGGTGGCTCTGTTACACATCCAGCGCTCTTTTAACCACAGAGCTGCAGCTATAACAAGCTGTGAGTCAGTCTGCTTTAGATCAATAACTATCCATAAATGCCAGCAGTTCACAGCAACACAGACAGAAAGGTTGCAGCTGTGCATAACAACAGTGTAGCAATGCATTATATTATATATGGAAATATATTCCAATGTTTTGTGTGAAAAAATCTGAATGACTGGACACGATAGCTGTGAAATATACTGTAGTGAGCTACTATATTTCCCTCTTAACTGAATGGAAGTGCAGTATAAAGTGTCATAAAGTGAACCTCAAAACTGTACTTAAGTGCAGTGCTTGAGTAAATTACTTACTTCCCACCACTGCTTTTTATATTATATTGATCAGTATGTTGCTTTTCACTCCAGAGCATTGTGTTTCTCTCTGTGACCACTAGAGAGCAGGCTGATTTTTCCTCTCAAATTTCATCCAAATTTAAAGTGGTAATGGCATGTTTCTGAAACACAATGGCAACCACAATAGAAACTCGGCTGCTTTTCTTCTCCTATCGTTATCACTCCAAAATCATTCATCGCTGCACCTCTTCTACTTCAGCTGTATTTGTCCCGTATCATCATCTCTTTGTGCCTTGACAGACCACTGTCCAGTTGTCAACATCTCTTTTGGTCTTTTGGCTTAATTTTAGTTTGATTTTTTTGTTTTATTTTGTTTCGTTTTCTTTCTTTTTTTTTGAGGTTGTTGCATGGAAGTCACATAAAACAGTATTTAATGACAAACAAGGGATTTGAGTCACACAGTAAAGGAACTTATCTCTTATGTTTACTTTTGGTATTGATGAGCATTGTTTTGATCACTGATGGAAATGAAACTACCTTCTCAGTCTTTGTTTCAATTCTGTCTTATCCTCTTTTGCTCTTGTTGACCTCCCACTCCATTTCCCAGAGCTGAACCCCTGTAGGCAATTTCTGTTGTTAACTATACAACTGGTTGCTTTGCAGTGCCTTTAAATGAGCAAATCATTTTCTGAGAATCACAGGTCTTTGTTTTTAATCCTGATGTTGCTTGTCGAACATCACAGCTTCTGCACAGGCCTGTCCATCTGAAGGCTACTACCTTTCTCTGTCAGCGAATTATCTGTGCTCCTCACACACTTGTGTTCATAATGGTGTGACAACGACACACTTTGAACAAACACACACACACACACACACACACACACACACACACACACACACACACACATCTCATGTACATTTCCTCACAAGTGTTGTGATATTGTAGATACGTATTGGAAATTAAACCACTTGACCCTGAAATGTGATCGTTCTTTTTCAGGAATAGACTTTCTCTGAACGCGCCTGGCTGCATCAATGAAGCCCACACGCATACACCACAGGCAGCCTGCTTCGCCTTTAAAAACATATTGATTTCTCTCTTTTGCAGGGAGCTTAATGCGATCGATCGGCCAGGCCTTTTCAAGATCAGCGCCACTATAAGCATCTCGTCCCCTA